GTTTCTCAAGCATCGTCTGATTTCCTAACCGGCGATGTTTGCCTCTGTTGATTTTCCAGGAGAGGGAAGCCTACAGCACACTCCGACTCAGCCAGTTCATCAACAACCATTCATTTGCGAAGTTCCTCTCTTGTTTTGAAGTCCCACTTGGCCCCTCATGAGCTCCACCATCTCTGGACAACCTCCCCGTACTTCCTTCAGATTTCCTCCGCTTCCACCGTCTTCCTCCGCTTCAGGTGGTCGTGTGCGGCGCCGGCCTCGCAGGCGCCGCCTCGGCGTGGCAGCTGCGGCGACGCGGCGGCGCAGCGGTTCGCGTGACGCTGGTGGAGCCGCGGGCGCCGCTGCAGGCGACGAGCCAGTGGCGAGGCAGATTTGAAGTGGCGAGGGGCAAGATGGCGAGAGCTATCAGGGTTCTTACTTCAAGTATATGTTCCATAACCAAGGTGTCCTCGACGCGATCTCAAGCTCAAGGGTGGGTGCTGGATGCTCTGCTGGGCTGGCTTTGTTGAGGGTGCTTCGCTGCTCGCCTCTTTTTCCAGCTCGCTCTCCTGCCCCCTTCATTGCCACCCATCCACGGTCTTCCCGTTTCTGGCAGCGTTGTGCCTTGGAATTGTTCTTGGATTTTTCCTAGTCCTAGGCATTTGGATTTTGTGGACTTGCCTACGGCCAGCCCTGTTTCCTTCGCCTACTGCTTGGGAGACAGACTCGTCCCCCTGCCAGGGGCTCCCCTCACGCTCGTCGCCTCCAAGCTTACTTGCATGAGTGATCAATTGGCACTACGTCAAGACCTTCAGGCCCTGACTTCAGCAATTGCAGAACTCACTCTGGTGACGCGGGCGCTGCTTTCGGAACGAGGAGGGCGAGTGTCTTCAGAATCCTATCCAGCAGGTTTGATCGCTCCTTCTTTGGCGAGCGCGTCAGATTGGGAATTGGTTCAGGACGGCACTTCTATTCCTGGCTCGCCTGCAGATTTTCTGAAGAGGCCTGTGGTGGTTCGGTTTGAAGAGGGCCCGCCAGACACTCCAGATTTTTGCATCCAGCTTGCTCGACGGCACCTATCTTCCTCAAAGGCTTCTGCCGGTGATCGTGCACGAGAAGCCTACAAGGCAGGCTTTTGGCCTCGTGCTTTCTGGACTTGCCACACCCCTTACTCATCGTCGTATCAGCCAGGTGTCAATACCTACACTCAGTGGGTCCTGAAGAAAGGTGAGGGATTCAACTTCGTTCGTGTCGGCACTCAGGCGGAATCCGACCGTCTCCAGGCGGCATTCTCGGACATCATCTTCGCGGAAAAGCTGCCAACACTTGCAGAGTTGCATATCTTTTGTGCTGGAGCTTCCATTCCGGTTCCACCGCTATGGCGCTCGACAGAGCGTCGGTGAGCTTTGCAGCTTCCAGTACAGATCCCTCCCTCTTTGGTCCTCCATTTGACTGAGGAGCTGTCGGAGAGTGGTGTGGAAATTCAAGCGCTTGCTATCCCTTTGGTTTCAAGAAGAAAAGGGATGATGTTAGCAGTGCCAATTGGCCTTTTGAAGGAGAGCCTTCTTTCTCTGTCGGGAGTGGTGGAGGAGGACGCTCTCATCGGCCCTTCACAGGTGTTTGAAGTTGATATGATTACAGAGGATGAATTCACAGGTGCAACAGTTGCTGCTGGCTTCAAAAGTGATGTCCAGGTAGTCGACTTCCCCAACGACATTTTGAACTACCTGAAGGAATACGATCCTGTGACTGACTCCACCGAGGATATCACAGGATTTCATGAAGCGCATCCTCAGGCCATCCCTTCATCGAGTGAACTGCTTGCTTTGGTTTTGAGTTGGGCTGAAAGTGAGGCCTTGTCACGTGTCCATTTTTACAGCGCTCGAGAAGAGCCGGTTGGAAAGACACCTCAAACTCCAAAGAAAGCTCCTGCAAAAAGACTTACCAATGCAGCTCTGGCGGAACAGGTCTCACAGTTGTCAGTACAGGTCTCTCTGCTCCTGGCCAGTCAGGCAAAAGCCAATACAGAGCCCGAACCGGCCCAGGTCAGGAGTACTACACCTGTCATTCCTGTACGAGAGGCAGGTGCCCTGGTCCCTACCGGACCCGTTCCCAAAATGCCTCCAGTGTCTCTGGGTCTTCAGACTCCAGGACCTCACTTGCCTCCAGCCAAGGCTTTACAGCAGCAAGCAGTGGCTTTGAATGCATTGGTGTCACATCTCATACAGGGAGGCGATTCACTGCACAGTGGAGGAGCAAGCTCGAGTACTGCGAGAGGCACTGTAAAAAGAGAGCGATTGCAGCAGGAGTTGGCGGCCCGCCAGTCCACCCTTTTCCTTGCGTTGCAACAGCAGATCTTCCGTCGGCTTCATCCTTCTGCTGTTCTTCCACGGACAGAGGAGGAAATCCAGAGGAGGAGTCCCTCCCTCTTGACTTACCTGGAGAGATATGGGGGCTTCAGAGGCCAGAGAGAAGCAGGCCTGATTATGTGGATTTTTGCACATGCTCTGGATGCTGCTGCCTCAGGAGACTTCTATGCTATAAAAGAGTACTTGGCATTGGGCATCATGGCTTTAGAGCAAAGTGCATTCGATGCGGGAGATTGGGGCCTAGCATATGTCCTTCCCTCATGGAAGATCCGCCTCAGATTCTCTTTCAGGATCGAATGCAGTCCATCACAGCAGCAGGACGTCCTTTTGCGCCTTTGATTCCACCTCAGCTGGCCTCGATAAATCTTGCCTACCTCAAGGATCGATGTCCTCCAAACCAGACGGCAGGAAACAAAAGGCAAGAAGAACCAGCCGAGTGGGTCGAAAGCGGAGGAGGATTCGCCAAGCCCAAAGAGGAAACCAAAGTTCCCGCGCAAGCCAAAAGGCGCAGGGGACAATCAGCAGCAGTGAACCAGATGAAAAACGATGAACTCAAGCCAAAGGCAATGACACCTTGGTCTGCATGTGGCCCTCAGAAGGCCCTGGATGCTTCTTTTATGAAGATGGTTGACAATGGTTTGGCCTCGTCTGGGCCCTCTGGCTCCCCTGACGGGTTGAGCGGGCATTGCAAAGATGACATCAGAAAACTTAGCTTCCCAATGTGGTGTTCCGACTATGGTGTTGCGAACTCGTACAGCCTTTGCTTCATTTTTGTCCTTCTCCATTCGTTTAGCTCGTAGTCCCATGTCGAGGATGAGATCTTCTACACCAGCTTTGTCCCCTGTCCCAGTGCCTGTTGAAGGCTGTTTTGACAGGATGCCTGCAGGTATTTCGAGCACCAGGAGACGCTCCCTCAGCTTGTCTCGGGCTGTCCACGTGATGTGCGTGGCTTTGAACTTTTGGCATTCGGGGGGCGTCTTGTGCAAATTTGAACAACCTCCTCACCGGTTGCTCTACAGGAGGATCAGAGCTTTTATAAAGTCGGACGGCCTCAGCGGAGTTTTTGATACACTTCCTGTGGGTCGAAGGAATCCAGAGATCATTGCACGCTTGGGTGAGGTGACTCAGCTTTTGACCATGTTGGGTTGCTCTATGTCTCCTTACTCCAAAGTTTTTGCCGCTATGACGTTCCCAAGGACACGGGGCCTCAATCCACAACGCCTTTTCTTGACTGGCAGAGGGCACTGGGACATCACAGAGTTCTTAGGTGATGAACTGGTCATGGCCTATCGTGAGCCAGAATGTCTTCGAGTCCATCGTAAACCTGCGTCTTGGGAATTTCCACGTGTTAGGGACTCACAACAGACTGTCGGCGAACTTGCCCGCATTTGGGATCGGCAGGGCCTCCTCATGCTTCATCGTTCAAAGACTTCAAGTCGGAAGAGTTTTGAGCTGGTGAGGATCTTCAACTGCTACAAATCCCAGGACAAGGACCGCCAGATTGGCGACAGACGTGGCCGTAATGCTATTGAAGGCATTCTTCATGGACCTTCAGCCAACCTTCCTGCTGGCCAAGACCTTTGTGATTTGCTGGTAGATTTGAAGAGTCAAAGGCTGCACGTCTCCATTTCAGACAGGCGTGACTTTTATCACCAACTATGGGTCACAAAAGCACGGGCCCTTTCCAACACCTTGGGCCCCGGGCTGCCAGTTTCCCTTGTTGAGGACACCCAGGCCTATCGTCATTACCTTCTGGGTGACGCTCAAAGAAAGTATTCAAGAGAGAGACATGGTGACCGCCTTGACGTTGAAGGTGATCCCCGTCTCAGAGTTGCTGACGAGCTCATTTGGGCCTCTTTCCGAAGTGTGCTACAGGGCGACCATGGTGGTGTCGAGATGGCTACAGATGCTCATACTCAGCTGCTCCAACAGTATGGCCTTCTGAGGGAAGCAGTTCAACTTGTTGCCAACAGGCCTTGTCGAAGTACATCAGCAGTCGAAGGGCTTGTCATTGACGACTTCTTCAGTGTCTCCGTGGACTCGAAGGAAGTTCCAGGTGAATCTTCAGAGTCGTTCAAGGCTTACCAGAAGGCCCAAGAAGCATATCAGGACTATGATTTGATCGGCTCCCCAGAAAAGGACGTTGTTGCTATGAACGAAGGCAAAGTCATTGGGGCCTACATCAACTGCAGTGATTCAGCGGTGAAGCAAGGAGTTTGTACGGTCGGCCCTCCAGCAGCAAAGCGGCTTACTCTGTCGATGCTCACTCTTACCCTTTGTGCTTTGCCGTATACGACCGTTTCTCTGCACAGATGCGTTGTTGGTGCCTGGGTCTCTATGCTCCTTTATAGGAGGCCAATGAAGAGCTTGTTGAATGCCTCCTTTGCCCTGGTAGAGACTTGGAAGGATGCATCCGAGACCTCTCTTATACCTTTGCCACGCGAAGTTGCTCAGGAGTTGGTTATGGTTGCAGCTCTGGCTCCTCTCATGTTGAGTGACATTGCAGTGCCTTTCGACGAGAAGGTCTATGCTACAGATGCTTCTGAAAGTAGAGGAGCAATTTGTGAGACCACGCTGAAAAGTGACATTGCCCAGATCCTGTTCAAGACCTGTCGCACCAAAGGAGCTTATACTCGGCTGCAGGCTGATCAAAGCTCTCGCGGCCTGTCTCTTGAGAATGATGATGAGGACCACCATCTGGATCCTGAGGGTGTAGTGGTTGGTGCTCCCAGACCTTTGGCTTACAGTTTTGAGTTTTGGGAGATATATGCTGGCTCAAGTCGTATCTCAAAAGCTCTAAGTGCTCTTGGTGTGGTTGTTGGCCCTCCTTGGACATTTCAAGCTCCGAAGAGTATGACCTCTCTCATGTGCACGTGCTGTCTTGGATATTCCACCTTCTTGAATCAGGTCGGTTGCTAGCATTGGCGATTGAGCCGCCTTGTACCACATTCAGCATCATGAGGAGGCCAGCATTGACGAGCCGCCTATGTCCGTATGGGTTTGAACCTTTGGAGCCAAAGACAGCCCTGGGAAACATTCTTTTCCTACGTGGCTTACAACTGTTGGCAAAGGCTGCTCGTCATCGCATTGTTGGACTTTTGGAAAGGCCCTTTTCAGCATTGAGCAAATTCGTTCCACCTTATCAGAGGATGTTGGACAAGCCTGGTGTGACTGAAGTGAGGATGGATTCATGTCAGTATGGCTCCATCCACCAGAAGTCTTTTGCGATGTTATGCCTCAATCTGGACACAAGTTCTGTCGCTCGCAGGTGTGCTGGCAGTTGTGTGCATGTGCCCGTTCAAGGAGTCTATACGAAAGCCTCAGCAATCTATACTCCAGAGCTTGCTGCTGCGTTGGCATGGACTTTGGCTCATGGCATCCGCACTGTCAAGGCGCTACGCGCAGATGAAGCTGGCACAAAGGTTGCTGGCTTGGAGAATCAGTTGACCAACGAAGTCATGCTCGCAAGCAACTGGGAAGTTAGAAAGTCCTGGAAGTTCAAGAAGGAAGCTCACATTAACTGGAGCTAAAAGCTGTTGAAGCACTGATCGAAGACAGAGCTAAGCAAGGGCCCTCTCGCATTGTCAGCCTGGTCGACTCAAACGTTGCTCGTTGTGCTTTAGGGAAGGGACGTTCTGCGTCTAGAGCTTTGTCCACTGTTTTGAGGAGAACTGCTTCAACAATGGTGGCTTTTGGGCTGTATTTGGTGACACCGTTTTGCCCTACACGCTTGAATTGTGCAGATGACCCTACGCGGCTCATAGCTCTAAGGAACCGAGTTGAGGGTTTTGGCATTCAGGATTTTTCTGCTGAGGAACTTTGGAGGCTTGCTCTTCTCAGGACTACATGTCGTTGGGCATCAAATTGGCTTCGCCTGGTGTTGCTTTTGAGACGAGAAACACTGCCTGAGATTCAGCCCCAAGCAAATGTTAGAGTTCTTGCTCCAGATTTTGGCATACAATATGGAGTCGGTTTGTCCCTACTTCAGGTTTGAGCACCGCATCTTCGATTCTACGAAGGGCTACCCAGGCGAGGGTCCGTTCCATGGCAGTTCTTTTGGATTTCCACAAGGTTGCCTCGGCACACTTGGGCTTTGGATTTGGCTCATCACTGTCCTTCGTCTTGCTCGTCACTCTTTTGCCACTTCCCATCTTGGCCCTCGTTCTACTACCTCTTCTCTTGGCCGCCACTCTTCTTCTTCTCTCCGCTTTTCCCGCTTCCTCTTCCTTGGTGCGCTTCTGGGTTGCAGCCTAGATCGTAGCATCGCCATGGAACCTGGAACTGCAGCGGAAGCTGCTCGAGCTGCAGAGAGAAGCTTGGTGGATCTGCCTGCAGGAAGGCCATCGCTGGCGCTCACAAGTCGCTTGAGGGACCGCTACTGGTCCCAATTTGAGGCCTGGCTGTCAAATGAGAAGATTGACTTCGAGAGTCTGTTGCTGCAACATGTTGTTTACATTGATGATATCAATGCTGTTTTAGCTCAGTATGGTCGTGCACTGTATGCTGCCGGTAAACCCTACAACCAATTTGCAGAGACGATAAATACCTTGACTTCGAAAAGACCAGCCCTTAGACGACTCATGCAGGGAGCATGGGATGTTGCCTTTTCTTGGCTTCATGCTGAACCTGGTTCACATCACATTGCTATGCCTTTTCAAGTTTTGTTGGCTATGCTTGCAGTCAGTTTAAATTGGGGCTGGACAGCTTTCGCAGGGTGGTGTCTTGCTTTGGGTTGGGGAGCTCTTTGTCGAGCTGGGGAACTTTTTGCAGCGTGTCGTGCTGACCTCCTCCTTCCAAGAGATGTAAACTTCACTGTTGCTTTCGGGTTGTTGGCTATTCACGAACCTAAAGCCAGAAGAACAGGTGCTAAGCATCAATCAGCGAAGTTGGATGTGCCTGACCTGTTGGATGTTGTTGATTTTTGTTTTGGAAGCCTTCGTCCAGCTGCTCCTCTTTGGCCTTGGACGGGCCAGACTTTTAGGAACCGCTTTCGTGTGGTTTTGTCAGCTTTGAGACTTCCAACTCAGAAGATTGGGAACATGAAGACGCTTGACCCCGGCAGTTTGAGATCAGGAGGTGCCACGTGGCACCTCCAAATGACTGAAGATGGTGAATATACTCGAAGGAAAGGTCGGTGGCTATCCACCAAAATCATGGAAATTTACGTTCAAGAAACCGCTTCACTTCTTTACTTGAAACGTATTCCGGAAACTTCACGTATTTTCACTTTGGAAATGGCACGTATTTCCTTGGATCTTTCGTCAGGTTCAAAGATATGCCGTGTTGGGCCTTGCTCCTTCTGCATGGTGGGTACTCCTACACAAAGAAGTAGCGCTTGGATGAGATGGGCAGTACGGGAGCTGTCACGGTGGCTTGCAGTGGCAAATGCCACCCTGTGGATCTCAATAGAGTGGAGAAGGAAGAGCGTTGGATTGAGTGGTTATATATGTAGAAAAGGGTACTTGTGTGCGCTTTGGAGCCTGGGTGTAGGGGCCGCTGCAGGGCGCCTCTGCAGGGTGCTGGTGCCGCTGCAGGGTGCCGCTGCAGGGTGCCGCTCCAGAGTGCTGCCACGAGATGTGCATGGCCGCGTGCACTTTAGAGGTGCAGAAATCTTTTGCTATTTGGGGCCTATGCTGGCGTATTTTGGTTGTTTGGGATGACGAGATGAGGAGGTTGGTGCTTCGACAGGTTTTGACATCAAAGTCTTGTCTGTATGGAAGTCAGGTCTGGATACTTGGACATATTTGCATACAAATATGGACGCTATAAAGTGTCCGGCAGTACACAATGTGTGGAAATTGTAAAGCGGCCGGTTGTTGCATGCCTTATGTTAGACATAGACACTGGTTCCGTGGTAACTACAACAAGCTGCTGGCCTTTGCGTCGGCTTTGAATCTGCGCTCGTCGATCGAGCCTATCGAGTTGATGGTTTACTTTTCCTTTGGGGCTCTTTGATGTTCTCTGGGCTAAGATGACCAGACGGCCTTACATACTATACTACCTGTTTTACCCAGGCAACTTTTCACTTGTCAGGTTGCCTTGCTGAGGTTCGGCTTCGTTTTTTTTCCGGCCCCTTCATTTGGTTCCTCTTTCATTCATTTGAGTTTCATGTCCTGTTTGCCTTCATGTCCGGTCACCTCATTCCTTTCTTTTGCGTGTGCGCCGGCCTGGCCCTTAGCGTATACGTGCGCATTTACATTGAGACCAGGTTGCAGGTCGCCCAGGTCCAGGTCCTTATAGTGAGGTTTGGTTCACCGGTTGTCCCTGTGCATTTGGTTTCTCCTTCATCGCGGCCACGCACTTTCGTCTTGTTTTGTCCTTTTCATGTCTTCTCTTATTTTTTGTCCCTCTTGTGCTCCAACATCAGACGGCGGCAACCTAAACAATAATCATCCTCATTTAGTCAGTTTGTCGGGCCTTTGTTGCTATTCCCTAGGGTTTTGGGAAAGTTCGGTCTTACGTATCATTCAACCTGTGCTCTTCAACGAGGAGGAACATGAATCAGAACTCCCAAAACCTCCATCCTGAGTTTTTTCCGAGCCCCCAGTGTCCTACTTGAGCAACAGTCAAACTACACAACAGTTTGGTCCCCCAAAAGAAATTTCACCAAATCCACTCAGGTTTTCCACAGAATGCTACCGGGACTTCTTTGTGGACACGGCCTTGGTGCCCTTCATGTCGCGCTCGGTCTCACTGCTCGAAGAGTTAGCTGCCCGGCCCATGGCGTTGGTTTGCAGCGGTTGATGGCATCTGAAGCGCACATGCATTGGGTGGTTGGGATATGGAAGGAGTGGGACCTCGTAGTGGGCACCAGAACTGGCACTCAGGTAGATGTGACACATGCTCCAGTTCCAATCTTTACTATATACCCGGTATATCCATGATTGAGAACAAGTGTGTATGTGTATGTGTGACAGAGTTTATATATATATATACACATACATGTCTGGTAGACGCTAAAATTTATACATGCATTTTCATGGTTTTCAAAAACACTGATAGTGACCCTAAAGATATACTGTAGAACACTGTGGATAGAGGTTAACACGATGAACTACGTATCCCCTTGAATGGTGTGTTGATGTTGGACATTGTTTCAGTCTACTTGCGAGTGTCCTAAATAGGTTCAGGGATCTTTCCCATTGAAAGAGTGTAAGACAACATCATTTGAGGACCCCTGCCAAGACTTCCCTTTGTCCCGACTTGATGCTGAACACTCGAGGCTGAAACAGATGACGCGATCAATCTGAACAGGCGCGGCTACTGCTTCTTTGCAGGGTCTGATGCCGGAACGAAGGCCGATCTGCCGGAAGCTGGGCGGGTGGGTGGGTGACTGTTGGCCGTAGTGGATAGCTTGTCGAAGACACAAACCGCATGACCGGCAAAGGTTTGTGAGCCTTTGTCAACTGGGTCTGGGTACCACGGAAATCCCGAATGCAAACAGAACTTGGTGCAGTTGATGCTCCCAGCTAAAAAACTGCCAACATGGTACACTGCAACCTTGGGACCTGGGGCATTTGGTGGCCAGAAACAACACAGGATTCCCTGAATCCCTCAGGAGTACCCAAGCTTCCAGGTCCAGGAGTGGGATTGTCCAATTGAGAGAAATGATCCGGCTGGGCCCATCTGTCAATTTGACCATTGAATCATGCAATCCAGTCCAAGCACTGCGGCCACCATGGGCTATGCTGATGTCCCCCAAACGCAACCATCGAAGTTCTGGCTGAAACGGAAGACGGATCTTGGAACGGGATGCGGAACGGACAACCGCACGGCTTTGGTGTTAAGATGTGTTAGGCACCTGGCTGGAACGTGGCCACCTCCGGTCACCTCCAGAAACAACGCCCAGTAGCATAACCGGTTCCGGCCACACTACAAGCATCCCAAACCTTGCCAACCAAGAACAGTACCAGGATTGTTGAAGGGGCGTGTCGAATAGACTGGTAGTCCAGCCAGGTGACTGGTTGCCCGCGCGACATCGCACTCGCACTCGATCTTGTTATCTCTTCCATTCTTCTCTCTGCGCCCGTTTTGTCGTGCAGTTTCGCAGCGGTCACCTGGCTGGGCTCCAATCGCTGAACGCTCGCTGGATCGCTAAACACTCGCTGAACACGATCGGGCGGTTTTCATGCCTCCACAGGCCTTGGAGCGCTTCGGTGTCCAAGCCTCCAGCTTCGGCGCCGGGCCCTTGCGGCGCCACGATGGAAGCGCTGGACGTGGACTGGCGGAGTATGAGAGGACGGGCACTGGACTGGCGAGAGAGAGAGGGAGAGGTAACTGGGGAACTGAGGCAGAATTGGATTCGAGAACTGGGAGCTGGATTGAAGAAGGGCGATCAACTCAATTGCTCCACGGTTGCCAACAAAAATCGAGAGCTTTTGCGGTTTGGCAGGGCGAAAGGATCCGGATGGAGGGTCCAAGGTACCTGGTACGTAAGTAGGTTTCATGGGCTTTTCTCTTTTCTTCATCGGCGATTGGCTGAAGAAACCCTGCCAGGAGCTGCCAGGGCACCCCTCTCAGAAAGCGTGTCAGCCGGAAGACCGGTCGGTTCGGGTCATGGGAACCGACCGGGGTTCACCACGAATGGACGACCTCCGTAGCCGTTCGCTACCAGGCTTTCTTCTGCCCGGCGGGTTCCGGGTGCCATGACCCACACCCAAATCTGGTGGTGAATTTGGAGTACGGAACGCTTGATGCAGAAAGGAGACGGAGGAGCCAGACTTCTGGAATCAGTCAGAATGCACCCAAGGTGGATTGAGGAAGTGCAGGCTAAGCAGTATTTAGTCATAAAACCACTTGGCAGTCCTTCTTTGCTTGGGGGTTTTCGGTCTCCCCTCCGCGAGGGAAGGCCCCATCGGTCGCCGCAGGAGTCCCGCCAATGGATTTCGGGGCCCCACGGGCTTGGACCTCGTCTACGGCGGCTCGGTGGAGCCGGCAGGGCGGCGCCGAACGGAAACACCGAAGGAACGTGGGGCAGTGCAGGGCGGAGTCTGGTGGGATTCTAGAAGGGACGCATGTGGCTTGCGGTTGACTGCAATTTGAAAGAGTTTTGAACCACTGGAAATCATCTAGGCAGTAGGAAGGATGAGGAAGGTGTCATCCAAGACACGTGCTTTTCGCAACAAAAGGGGAGGGGGGCGTTTTCCCAGGTCGGCGCACGGGACAGGGGAGCGGCTTTCCATCCTTTTGGCAGAGCCTTCTGGTGTGGTCTTTCCAATGACACTTTCGATTGGACTCGACTCTTTGCCCACAAGGACTGATGAAGACGAGTTCAGATGCCGCGAGGAAGGCTGCTCCTTGCCCCTGAAACCGAGCATGTGGACCCATGGACCATCATGGACCCATAGACCCAACCCCAGCAGCTGAGTATTCTGAAGCTTTGGTTCAACACAAGCTCTATATATAGCAGATACTGTAATATCTATAATACATGGAACCATATATTATACTTCTGCGTCTTAAAAAGCTTCAACTCTTCAGTCAGGGGACGCCAGGGATGCCACACAGTTCTCTCGCGCACCGGTCCAACCGAGCACACTGACATCCAGCGAGGCCCGGAGCTCATCCAGGAGATCTACCCCTTTGTGACCTCGAAGGCACAGGTCATGCTCCACGCCCGCCGCTGCGGATGGCTGGACGCGCAGGCGTGTGTGGCGATGGCTGGACAGCCGTGATGCGCGGAAGGATGTCGGGTGACCTCGTGGTTTCTCCTGTTTTTGGAGAAGATCGGCCCTCCGTGGTGTTTGTTTTGCTTTTTGTCTATTGTTTTTCCTTTCTTTGCTGGTGTGTTTGGTGGAGGTGGTGGGTGGTGGTTTGGTGATGTTTGGTGAAGGAAGATACCAACACAAGCAACAACTTCCCTAACCCGAGCAGTTTGGGAACCTCGCTCAGTTCGCTCCAAGACACTTTGATTTTGAGGGCGCCAGGTGGGGGTGCGGATGGCGCAACATGGGGGTGCTGCTCACCCAGTCAACCCACTTCAACCCACATCCATTTGCTGCTGCAAGAAGGTCCAACTCACCAAGTTCCAGCGGACCGCCCCTTGCCAGGCTTTGGGCCGGGCGATGTTGACTGCGTCGGGCGGGCAAGTGCTGCGTGGCGAGGCGTTGAGTGGCACATCGTTGAGTGGCCACGCTGGGTTGGCTGAAAACGCTATATACGTCGAGTTTATGGAGTAGAGGTAACGAGATGAATCAACGGAGCCTCAAAACCTCGCCGCTACCTCTCCTCGCTCTCCTGATCTTTCAGCGGGTGATGCATTGCTCCTGGCTGTTCATGGTTTAACAAAATGAGCTCGAAAGCCGTTCCCATTTTTCCGTGAAGCGGAACCCCCTCCTGATTCTGAGGAAACTCAGGGGAAATCATTATCAAGCTGAAAGGATCCCTGTCCTGGTCCAGGTGGTCGGCTTCGACACCCACCAGGGCGCCGTGACCGCAGTGCAGGTCCAACAGCGGCTTGGCCGCGCGTTGCGCGCGCCACACGCGTCGTTGGGAGCTTTGACCGGTGTAATGGGTTCTCGAGATGTCGAGAACACCAAGAGATGCTTGGCTTAGAGGCTTAGCTTTCTATCTAATTGGAAGAGTCACAGTATCGTCGCTTACAGGACTTTTGAACCGATCCTTTGTAGATCTTTGGAGATGCACCTGGAAGCAATCAGATCGTTTATGAACGACTCATCGCCCCGGACGGGATGCCATGACGGACTGGCCAGGGGACCCCCCAAGAGGGCCTGAAGGTCGTCATCCCAACCAAGTCCCAACCACCACGGTGTGATGTAGAAGCTGCAAGCGATGGTGCAGCTTCCGTCGCACTCAGGAACGACGGTGTAGCAGTGTCGCTGAAGTGTGACGCCTTTGTGAATGCAGCAGGCGCTTGGATGGATTCTGGGCTTTGAATTGGCGCTGCTGACCCACACTTTCCTTTGAGCTTGGACCATTATCACCCTTAATTGTCATTTATAATGCTGTACAGATTACACATACAGATATACACATGATCGTTGTGTTCATGAGCTTTTGACACTTGCATGCCCGGGTGCTGACCCACACAGCCAGGAAAGGGTGAACAAGCTGCTGGAGGCGCCGCCGTTGCCTTTGAAGAACGAGGTTCACGCCAAAGTGCCGCTTGACGCAGGGCTCAGGGGCGCTTGGAGCACCTGGGTGTATTGGGTTTGTAGTCGTTTGGGCGTTTGGGCTGAGAGAGCTCAGGGTGAAGAGGACGAGGAGCAGCAGTTCTGCACTCAATGTAACTTTCTCAATTGGTGAAGATTTAAAGGATATCAGTCTTTCAGACAGACCGACAGACCGTGGGCCCTCACCAGCAAAAAGGTTAACTAGGGATGGAACCCCATTCCAACATGACTGTGAATGTCTATGTTATTTCTGACAATCAGCTGTGTTCTACAGCTGATAGTCGCTCTTGGCTTTGGCTGCTGCAAAGGTCTGCCCCCCTGTGATTACCTTTGCGCTTCAACGGCGCCTCCGGCTACATGGCTCCTCCTGTGCTTCACTCGCGGGTCGCTTCTCCGGCTAAGGATCCTCAACGACGTGCAGGCAGCGACCGAACGGCGTGTCCGGTCCCGGCGAGCGACGGAACAGGAACCGAGTGGCACCGGGGGCTGAACACGGCTGAACGCCAGATGTATGATGCTCCATGAGATCAGTCTGAGTTTCCATCATCGTAGATCAAGATGATGTTTTGTTTTTTTCTATGGTGGCGCTTTTGTCAAGTCTCAGTCAAGTCTCAGCTCATTGTCCGGAGTTTCTATGATTCTCTGGGATTCAATCCAATGTCCTGGGTCAAGACAATGCACCCCAACCCACAGTTGAATGCCTAGTACATAGGTCAAACAACAAGACACTGGTGACCTTACTTACACTTGTCCAGCTATTTTCCTGGCAGGAGGTAAGAGGAGCTCATACCGGTTCAGTTCCATGGATCAATCCCACTAAAACTGCAAGTTCTTGCATCCAATTGGGAGACCTCGCAAAGACCCCCTGGAAGAAGGGAAATTTGCCCAAACCAATTGGTTGGGATTCCAAACCACACGACAGTCTGCGATTGTTTGTGGACATACTTCCATATGGGGCGGCATTCTACCTTCAACTTAGACCTTGATTTGAAGTGTGTTCATTTGACTGCGACCCTTTGCATGTGCGTGCATGTGATGTCGAGGCTTCGTTCGTGTTTACCTTACGCTTAGCTGAGGGCAACCACTGCACAGAGACACTGGTGCGAGAAACTACAAAGGCCAAAAACCCATATTGGTTGGGGGGTCACCCAGGGACTCCATCTTCGCGACGGTGAGCCCATCAGTGAGCCGACCCCCTTCAGGGCGTGATCCCGCAGACCGCCCCTTTCATGGTCTGGCGCGACCAAGTGGACCTGGACTGGGAGGAAGACATGAAGGAGTCGACCGGTCACGGTGGCATGGTCCTTTTTTTTACAGACTTGGGGAGGGATTCTTCCATGAATGAGGGCACAACAAAGAGTATTTCAAGGAGCCCTCAAAAAGGAACCTGACCAGCTTCAGGTCTTCGACCTGGTTTCCGCACCCTTTTCAGGTCCATCCCCCTAGAAGCCACCGGGCCAACCGGGGGAGGGGGTGACGGCAAGCCATATCTAAAACTCCAGTCCAACTCGACAAAGGCCTCATGACCCTGCGACGTTTCTTTTTCCCACATGGGGAGAGGATTCGGAGCCTTTTCTCCGGTTGGGATTTCCGTTCTCCTCCGTAGAGCTTCCAAGGGAGTTTGCCCACCTGCGTGACTTGAAAGGGGTGCCAACCGATGTGCTCACCCCAGCCACACTCCCCACCGAAGAACCTTTGAAGCAACTGGAGGAGTTCCTCTTGGAGCTGGATGACACCGCAACTGGTGGAATGGTGCCTTGAAGCTGGGGAGGACATGCTTTCGTTGGATCGTTGTGGGGGTGAAGACCGTGGGTTCTCAGTTTTCTTTTTTGCCGCGGGGCCGTGGTGGATCAACGGGACTCACACGGATTCTAAAAGTTGTCCAAGCAGTCTTACTAGTACTTCACTGGCCTTGCGGCCTTACTACTAACAAGAAGCTCGTTTTCTGGGGGCTCCGGGCCTTACTAGGAGCGATCGGACGCTACTGGGCCGGGACCGGCGCCTCGACGGACCGTCCCGGCAGCGTCCCGGACGGCCCGAGACCGGGTCGAAGACCCGGACCGGTCCGGCACCGGAGCGTCGAGAGGGAGGGAATCGACGGTGGTGAACGGACAGACTTGAGAAATAGGCAGATATCGTTTTGTTGCTTTCTTTCTTCTAAGCCTAAGCCGTTGAAGAAGAAGAAGACACATCTTGGAAGCCTCAAGGTTTGGGCGGGTTTGGGCAGATGGGTCTTCAGAGGAAGGTATGTCGGCAAGTCGAAACGAGTTGGGGGTAGCGATTTTTTATCCTTTCTGACCGAGCGTCCATGCTGGGGTGAGACACATGTTGTATCAGGTCCTTTCTCATGAATGCCATGGGTGCGGTAGCTGCGGGTTCAATGAGATTCTATGTGGCCAGAATAGACCGCCAGAGCAAAGTTCCTTTGGCCACTGCTTCCTGAGTTTGACTTGTTCAACCAATCTTATATATTTATATATACTGTATGTTTACTGTAATCAATTTATGTCAAAGCAATACTGCTCATGGTCAATTAGATCACCACCAAGGGCCGAATGTCCTTGACCTTGATCATTCAACGATCTGCCAGGTGAACTCAGCTTCCTGGTTGGCCAAGCAACCAGGAGGCCAGCATTTGCGCCCCTGTGGCAATGGCCGTGTGCTGCTCCTTTGGGAGCATCTCCACCGGCACGTGCCAGTGCCGGAGGAGCTTCCGAGGGGAGGGCGCTTGCGAAGCAATGTGCGCGCCTGTTGCATGTGCATCGGGTCGTTTTGGACCAGGCAGTATGCTTCACAGGTCTTCACAGTTGCACATCCGCTGTTGGAGAAGTGCGTTTGATTCCTGTCACACTGCATAGCTGACAGTTCTTGGACGTGCGGACAGTTCTTGACAGGATCCTGAAATGCCCATCAGCGATTTCTTGGAGATGTATCCGGAGCTTTGCGTGAGAGGCCTCAAAGAGATGGTGACCCTTGGCTCCAATGGCCGGTGTGAGAGGGGCAGGTTGTTGGGAGGTGGTCGTTGCAGAATGTGTTGATGATTTGGAGCTGCCTTTCTACGTCAGTCATAGACTCATAGACAGTTATCATCTGTTTCTTTGGTTGACTGGATGGAGTTCTTTTGCAGGAGGCTGTCGGAAGCTATAATAAGGTAGCCCGCTTGGACGTAGGATTCCAACATAGTCCAACCAGCCTTGGATTGGATTCTGGGCACCGGACTCAATCCGGGCCTGTCTCCATGATTCTTCATGCCTCAGTGTAGCACTCAGTGTAGCGCTCCTTGTGCCTCGACTCAAAATAGACATGAAGGAAACTGATCTTGATCCTCCAAACTATTCGCAGTGTTCTCATGTTCCGTGCGAATTTGCCCTCCTTCGGACCCCCTCTCTCCGTGTTTTCGGCTCCTGGCTTCCTGGCGTCTTCCCTCGCTCTCCAGGCCCGGCCTCGGTGGGTACGTGGAGGGCTTGGGGAAGGACACCAGCGTTGATGGAGGTGCGGACCGCTCGCGCGAGTGGCTCTGGGGGTTTTCAGAGGACGATGAGGATGCGGTGGATTTTGGAGAAAAACATGAGAAGTCTCAGAGGATTGGATGATGTGCATAGGTTTTTGCCTTCGCAAGGGTTCTACCTTTTGTGGTTCGCAAAGGTTAAGGCTCAATTGGACAAGGCTTCGATGAGTTCAAGAGAAAGGAGACTTCCAGGTATCTCAGTCATCTTTGGAGCCATCCATTGGAAGCTCCTCGATCTGGAGTTCTGTCTCAATCGTCTTGGTCCAGGCTACTACACCGTCATGCCGGATGGCCGCCCACTGGTGAGCCCTCACGGTGCCTCCAACGCTTATGTCTGTGGAGGCACGAGCAACGCCTGGCACGAGCGGAGCTGAGAGGACTTCGGCGCCCGAGGTGAGCTGTGTGGTACGACACCTTGGGAACTGTGGAACCCTGTGGTGCACTGTGGAAGCCTCCGATTTCAGCCACACATGGACCACCTGAAATCAAAGATGGATGAGCCTCTTGGTGTTCTTTGTTGTTTTTCCGCATACGCATCAGAATCCAAAGTTAGGTGGCCTTTGATCCGCCGCTGCACATGCTCCGCTCACTGCCAGCCGCAGGCATGGGCACCTACGGCTTGATGGGCTCACCTGCTGCAGGTGCGGAGTGTGCGCAAGAGGCCGATGGAAGAGGGTCGCGGGGCCTCTCTTTGAGACCAGAAGAAGAGGACAAATGGTGAGAAGAGGGCATGAAAGAGTTCTCATGTGGCTGGAGGGTCTCCCTGTTGCAACCACGGTACCCAAATCTATATTTTTCACCTTTTCGGGCAGACATTATATTATATATATTATATTCATAGAGTCGAGTCACAATCAATCGCGAGACGAACCCTGCTTTGCCTTAAGACGAACCCTGCTTTGCCTTAGAATTGGGACGAAGCGTGGGGGTCTAGAATGCAACCTGTTCCCACCTTCATGACTATTTTTGCTTTGGGACGGGGAGTTTGTGTTCATTCGTTAGCCAAAAGCCTCCTGCTTTTCAAGAAACCATGCCAGGAGGTAAATGATCCGTGATGGTAGCGAAACACAAATACATTTCTTTACACACAAACAGACATTCTTCTTCTTCCTGGAATGTACTTGGCGAAGATACACTACAGGCTCCTCACCAGCTTTCAGATCTTTCAGCATCCCAAAGCAGATAGGCATTGTGACAAGGATTGGCATTTGTCCGACTACGACTGGTGAGGAATGCATGTAGCTCCACGGCAAGTGCCGGTGGAGAGTGCTGACTCAGAAGGCCTTGACAACTCATGTGAAGGCCTTGAGCACGTTTGGACGGATGCAGCGAAATGCTGCAGAGGGACTGCGAAGTGCTGCCTTTGTGCATAAAGGGTTAAAAAGGCAAGAGTGAAATCGCCTTTCACCGATTCTGGCCTTTTAAAAACAAGTGTGTTGGATTGCTCACAAAGAAACTAAGACCCGCGGCTCGTTGTTCAGATTCCCTGGCGCTCCCCTCTTGAATCAGACTTCGCACACGCGCGCGCGCGCTGATAGCTCAGTCGTCGCAGGAGAGCTGCTGGCCATGCATCTTCTGCAGGAGCCTTTGCCCAGCTACGCGCCGCTCGGTTCTCCGTTGGACCGGGACCGGTGGACCGGGGCCCTGGTTGTGGGCGGCAGATAAGTCGCTCAGATAGGTCGATCGGTGTGGTGAAGTGACCGGGTGGTAGACCAATGATTTTGAGGCGAGGGAGACCCAAGCGGCCCAAGCGGAAGATTTGCTTCTTCTGTGCACACACACACATAAGTAGGCTTCGGATCATGATAAGCCTTAGACTCAGAACCACGTCAGACCACAGAGAGAGAGAGAGAGGAAAACATCAGAGACAGAGGCAGAGGCAGGCTCAAGCACATTCTCACAGCGCTCTAGGACCCTCTGAAGATGATTGAGTCAGGTCATGTATTGCAATAGTCAATAGTTGTTGCACACCACTGTGTTTTCTTTTGGGAGTTCCGAGTCCCGAGACTAGGAAGAAGTGCATCGCTACTAGTAACAGGTGCTACTAGCAGGGTGCCTTACTAGCAGCTAGCAGTAACAAGGGTCCCAATCATTTGAGATCCGTCGACCCCGCGGACCGTCCAGGGACGCCTGCCTGTGGCCGCGGCGCAGCGTGCCTGAAGAAGAGGTCATTGACCTGCCGCTCCGGTCGCAAAGAGCCAGGTCGGTGAGACCGGGATTGAGGCGATTGGTCCGTTGGGGAGACCAGGATTCCCGACCTCCCTTCTGAGATATTCTGAGCACCTCTTGGATTGAGAGGAGATCTGGCCACATGATTGGGTTGGGAATGACCGTCCAGAGATACTATAAGGACAAATGGACAAACATGGCATATTCACAGGGAAAGGTGATTAGACGAGTAGTGGCCGATTTTATGGGGAGGTTCTGCAGGGGCATTCAGCGCAAATTATCATGCGATCATCATTAAGCTATTCTTGCCGATCATATTCATCACATTCCCAGTATGTCTCAAATATGTACTGACAAGATGCCTTCCAGGTAGCCCTCCAACCAACCCCAAATCTTCGAACAGCGTTTCCAATCGAACAGCCCCAAGGTTGGACGAGTCCAGCTAGCGCCGAAGCCGAACTCGCCGAACTGCGCGGCCCAGCTGGTCGCCACACCTCGTCGCTGTGGCGTTCAGCGGCGGACTCGATGCGTTCAGCGGCCGCGTTCAGCGAGCCACGGAGGAGATGACGATGACTTGGCCAACAGCGAAAACGGTCTCAAAGCACCCTCACTCCGGCACCCTTTCCACCTTCTCTGAGAAAGTGATCGGTCACAGCAGATGTTAACACCCTGGACGACAGATGACAGGCTCGCGTGGCTTGACAGCGGCATCTTGAACACCTTTGTGCCATGGAGGAAGCGCTCTGGATTGATCCTGAAGAAAATCGTCTCCGCGCGCCATGGGGGATTGTCAGAATCTTTCAGAAATTTCAGAATCAGGTCGCTGCAGTTTTCCTTGTTCCGGAAGCCTTTTGAAGAGCTCATTGTACAGAGTGGATCATAAACATTGCCACTTCTACAAGGTCCACTTGGGTTTGTTGAGCCCTGAACGAGAAGGATTTTCATATCATTACAGTATAGAGAGTGCTCGCTCACCTCTAAGAAATTGATACCTCTTTGTGAGAGATGGAGTTCACCTACCTAGCTCCCACTCAACAAAAAAAACACGAAGCATCCACTCTTCCAACCTTCGGAGTGAATCCGTCTCCGTCTTTTTCCGACCCACTACGGGTGTGGTAACCACCAAAAGAACCACCCGAGTGGACAGATGGAACAAATCATTTGATCCACCTCCTTCAAGTGGAATCTATAGCTAAATGCACTATATACTACACCGATACCTCTGACATGCGCGGTTAGCAACTCACTCCTGTCGGTGTGAAATATCGTTGGAACTCTGCCTGAGCCATGGCCTATGGTGGTCCTCCGCTCGGAGGATGGCGGAAACACGTTGCGATACTGGGATCATGTCGCTGGGACCGCTTTTCTGAAGCGCTCGGGTGGGGGTTTTCTCAAAGCTTTGACGGTGCCATTTTGGGGTGCAGTTGATGCAGGCTTCTTGTGGGAATGGAATGTGACAAAATCCGACTACTAGTGACTACCCGACAAAGCAGGTGTATTCAGATCAGGGATTTCCCTGTTGTCATGCAGGTGGCGAGACGTGCCGTTGTGTGGCCCAAAAGGCAACAGCTGCAAGTTGGTTAGAACAAACCAATCTAGTTGGACTTCTCTTAAAGTATGGAGTTCCATCAAGCAATGGGTGTTCGGTGGCGTGTCCCTGGTTTGAGACACAAAGCTGAGAACTTCCATTCTGAGCAAACAGGGCATCGGATAGTTGTGGAGAGTTCCCCGTGAATTCACAGATAGAAACTGGCAGAAACCAAACGAACGCACCAAACTATTCGCAAGTCCTCGTTCCTCCAACCCACGGGTCCATTTTTAAGGAGAGTGTATTGCAGACAAATGACAAATACATGTTTGACACACAAATGACAACTCCTGGAGTGTGTTTTTCCAGTGAACGCCTGCCTTTTTTCTCCAGGAGGCTTGGGCTTCTCGAATCCCAATCACCTGGACACCATCAAGCGTGGCTGGGAAGCCTATTTTTGAGTGAGAGGAGATGGTTCCAACCGAGGAGCAGCGCTTCAGGATGAATGATTTCCCCGCACTGCTCGCTGTTTCGGACTGCTGGAGGTTGGGACTACCACCCTGAGGAGCACCGAAACCTGCCCCCCGGCCGGCGTGGCCGGCGCGAACGCACCGTCTCCACAGGTGCTGCGGGGTGGCACTTCGGAAGCGTTGCCAACCCGGGGATTGGTCCAAAATGGCTGATGCCACGCGAGAGGCCAGGTATTTGAACTTAGCAGCCAGGTATGCGAGGGCATGTGCTAAAGGTAGGAATAAGAGACACCAGGATGGTCAAAGCTGGATCAATTGAACCCAGATCTCACTCATGGGGACGTCCCTGCATATGGGATCTGATCGGTGGAAATGGATATTTTTGGACACGACACACGTCTCCATTATATCGGCCTATATGTTTCACCTGTTCACAGCACTTGTTCAATACTACGCAGGTTCTTTTGAAAGATGTTCAGATTCCTGAGCTCCACTCTCAAAGCTCCGTTCTTGAAGAGCATCGTTGGGTCAACCTTGGATCGATCTTTCATGACAGCCTCTTGATGAAATACGTGGAACCTTGGTGGCCAGAGGAGTTTCTTGGTTTTGACATTGGACATCTTCTCTTCGTTTGAGACCTTGAAACCCCAAATCCCCGATGAGGCAGGGAGGAACTCGGTGGGATCGGGAGATGGAAGACCTACCTTCATCACCGGTCGTGTGCACCAGGTGTAAGGCTCTGACCCAGAGCCGTTAGTAGTGAAGGTGCGAGGCAGCCTCAGACACTCACAAACAGACCCCTTGTTCATACAACCATCACACGTGTCATGCCTCTAAGCAACACACGTGTCATTGCATCTCCAACCAAGCATCAAGTATAGGCACAGTAATCAATTTTCCTGCAATCTTGATGCCTGAAAGCTTTCACCAGCCGTGTGGAGCCGCCTTATCGCCGCGTAGGTCTCACCCCCGAACTCTGGGCAGCCGCTGCTACAGGCATCCTGGAGAGAAAGGAAGGTGGCAGGAGGGGTGGGGTGTTGGATGCTGTTTGCCTGCTAGCGTCACTGAAGAACAGGGAAGAGCTATCGATGTTGGGATTTGCTGCAATATCCCTGTGTTTACAGCTTTGGTGGAGAACATCATTGTTTGCGGGAAGTTTCCACGTGTCCGAAGTAGAGGAGGCAGTAGAGGCAATTTGTTCCTTGAGTTGACTGTTGAGTTTGAGCGGCAGTACCACCCTTCATGTGTCGGCAGAGGAATATTTAAACCTGCTTTTGGCGCACAGTACTGCAGGTAGATATATCCCCGATTTGTGATATTGTACGAGGGAGTGCGAGGATCCCCCCAAAAGAGAACATATGTTAGACGAATTAAGAAGCTCTCAACAGATTCACCGCTTTGACAAGGGCTACTCGCAGTACCAGAATGGCTTGGCTCCATCCATGCCTGAGGCCCATGCAGTCCGGAGAGTACTCAGGTTTGTCAGAGAGAGAGAGAGAGAGAGACACCAGGGGAGAGGTAGAGGGAAGACTGGGTCAAGACCAAACACATTCAGACTTGCTCCTGGATGGTATATTCGTTTGTTTGTGACTCACAGTTTTTGCTCTCTCTCTCTCTCTCTTCTTTTTCTGGTGGACAGGACCACCCCCCTCGAGTCGGTGTTGGCCCGACCCGTCCACCACGTAGTGAAAGACACCGACCGACCCTTCCACTCCGGTGACGGGGGGGAGTCGCACCTGGTGCCATGACCCCACCGTTCAGTCTTTTTGTGGTTTGGTACCCGCGGGCCCGGGGCAGCAGGGAGGAGGAAGATCCAAGTATCCCCCACTCCACGTTGGTGGATCATTCCTTTTGCTGGTAGGCTTGCACCGGGTTCGGTACGGGGGTACCCAGTGTATGGGTACCTAGCACTCCATTTCCGAGCCACACCGAGGCATTCGGGTTGATGGAAAAGAACCAGCTTTCGTTTGAAAAGTCTTGGAGATGCCGAGTCTCCAGAGGAGCCCCATGTGCGCTCAAGCGCCAGTGCTCACGAGCTATCTCGATACGCACTAGCTACCGCGCCTGCGACGACAACTCGCAGGCACAAGCCACGCCTCCGGGTGGGGGAAGCCACATCCGCATCACCGTGCCGCAGCTCTTCGATGGGCGGCCACTGGCCTGTGTCGATCGATCGATCATGTCCGCCGCCGAAACCGGGCGGGACCCGGCTCCGAGTGGTGGTGACCATCTCGGCAGTTTGCCAAAGCACTCCTTTGGTTCTGAGGAGGGTACATATACACGCTACCCCCCCCCAAGAAAAACCTACCTTTTAGACAATTTCATTGGTATTTGCAATGATTTGGTGAGATTTCAGGGCACAAACTGAACAGCACATTTTTGACCATGTTGTGGTCTTTGACTGGGTGTTAGTTAAATCACTGATTGGTCCTAACTGTTTTGTATCACCGGCGCCTATGATAATTGTATTGTCCTCATGTTTATCAGTCAGTTTTAAAACCTTATTATTAATATTATATATAGATATAAAGATTGGTCATATAGATTTCATCAAAGAAGATGACATCAAAATTGCTATGATGAAACTCTGGTAGTTCATCCTCCTTATGAACTGGAATTCTAAAAAAACATGTTGTAGGTTGTTGCGTCACCTTCTATTTCTTGACTTAACCGGCTATGAGGCACTACAAACAAAACATTTTTAAATACTGACCTATGTAACTGTTGCCCGATCCAGCAAATTTTCCAGTCTGATATGATTATATATATATAATGATTTGGTTTGCCCATCACTCTAGTTAAATCGTCTTCATGGATCGTGTAGGCATCACTCTTCACTGAATAGACCTTAATAGCATTGTCTACCAGTTTATTATATGCTTCATACATTGACAAGTTATGATATTGAAGTAGCAACTCTTTTTTGTATCTAAACCTATTGACTAATCTATTTCTATTGGTGGTGTTTAAGATGCAATAGGTATTGCCCATGATTATTTCTTATTCTTTTTCTATTTCTTGTTGTATGGCATAAATCCTTCCTCCAAATTCCTTCTGGCAATGGGATGCCTCCTGTTGTATGGCAAATCCTTCCTCCAAACTCCCTCTTGTAATGGCATGCCTCCCTCAAAGTGTTAAAGCAGTAACTCTTCTGTGCGGTGTTGTGTGACTGTTCTAGCATTCCAAAGGTGATGTGTCCTATTTTATTTTGTCATCTTTAGTAAGAGCGGCTTCCCATAGTTTATTAACAATCTGGTCATAATTCACCTTATGAATGAATGAAGGAGTTTTATAACACATGATTTTTTTCATTTCATTGTTTGCTTCCTACAGTTTTCTTAAACACTTTTCATATATATATTTAGTTATATCTCTTATTGAAAAACATTTGATGCCTTCACTTCCACCATACACAATGTTAAGCTAGATAATTTGCTAATGTCAATGTCATCACTGTAATGTTTCCAACTATCAAACTCATTAAAGACCGGTATGAATTTAGTCTGTGTAAATGCCCATGTAAAGGCTTTAGTCCAGTCAATCTCTATCAGTTTTGTTGTAGCAATGTTATTTAAGGGCTACGCCCCCATGCCGCCGATTTCGGGAAGGAGTGCGGCAGCGAGTCCAGAGGCGGAGGTGGTTGAGAAGTCCCTTCCCACAGTTCCCTTCCTCCAGTTCTCCTTCCCCCGGTTCCCTTCCCACAGGCCCCTTCCCCCAGTTCCTTTCATCATCTTTCATCCAATCCCCTTCCGCCAGTTC